TTTTAACTATGTTAGAGAGAATGAATCCTCCCCATGCAACTATTAGCCTCCAGATTTCTGGTAATTATTTCTTATCTGTAAGACAAATACAGATATATTATCATTAGTAGTTGTAGTGATGAAAATATAACATTACTGTAAAAATCTTTGGTAGCAGTATATTAGAAAAAAATTAGGTAAAAATAATTCTCCATGAAAAATATTTTTTTTGCCTTCACTTATCAATTGATATGAATTCTTTCAATTTTCAGAGATAGGATATAGATTTTATTCTCCATCAAAAGTGAGAGAAGAATTAATTAGCTAAGAATTGAAACACATAATAGCTTTCTGCAATTGTTTCCCATTATTTCATTCCCTCTCTTTCTCCCTGTCTTGCTCTCTTGCTGTCTTTCACTGAGCCTCTTGGTTTCTACATCTCTGTGCTCCTGAAACCTCTTTCTCATCACTGTGTGTGATAGGTGTGATCTGTCTTCTGCAATATCTCTCTTCTTTCTCCTTTCTCTCTGCCTTCCCTTGTCTCTCTTCCTTAACTGACCACAATTTACAGTTGAAATATACTGACATTTTTTATTTTTATTTTTAAATATTTTTTGAGAGAGAGAGAGAGGGAGAGAGAGAGAGAGAGAGAGAGAGAGAGAGAGAGAACACGTACACAAGCAGGCAAGCAGGTAAGGGGCAGAGAGAGGGAGACACAGAATCCAAAGCAGACTCCAGGCTCCGAACTATCAGCATAGAGCCCGACATCATGACCTGAGCTGAAGTCAGATGCTTAACCGACTGAGCCACCAGGCGCCCCACTAACATTTTAAAAAATGAATTTTATATAGCATTCAAAAACAAAATAAAACATGAAATGCGTTCTAACCAAAAAGAAAAAAAAAGTCCTATCAAAGCCCTAAGTAGAAACTAGAGGCAGGCAGGGTTCAGTTTAACAGAAATAAAGAACTTTCTAAGCAGTTATAAGTCCCTGAAAATTGGAGCAGTCTTCCTTCCTCAGAAGATAGTGAGGTATTGTTTACCCAAGAGGCTGAAGCAAGGTTGTCAGGGGAACTGCAACATTGTGAGGGGAACTGACTGTACAGAATATTAGATGTCTATAGCTCCTCAGATCAGCTCAGTATATAATTCTAAGGTGTGTGTTTTTTAAAAGTTTAATTCTTAAAAATGTGATAAATTGTCTGTTGGTTAACAAAATGGACACTCCACACACAAGTCCATGCAACAAAGTGATTATAATGATCTGTGAATTTGGGGTTGGATTATCAGAGATTAAACAGAGACCACAACCCTGTGCTTTGACCAAATCCTTTAATAAATAATAATGAGATCTTTTTTCAGGGTATACATAGAACCATTTCACATGTAACATAAAGAAAATGGAGGGGGTGTAAATTAAGTTACATTCTTCTCATTTGAATTTAATGATTGTGCCTGGCAATTGTATATTGTCCTTGTTCTGTTACTAACTGACTGCATGGGAATGGGCATGCCTCTTCCTTTCTCTGAGACTGTTTTTCACCTCAGAGAGAGTTAGGAAGTTGAAACAAATCATCTCTATGGACCCTCCGTGGACAGAGCCACATATTAAGAACCATTGTGCAAACCAGCTCAGTATCTTCAAATTTCTAGTGTTCTAGTCTTTTTTTTTTCTTTGTCACATCTGTCCATGTGTTCTTCTTTTCTTACCTTTTGGATTAATCAAAAATTTTAAAGTAGTCTTCTGTTGGTCTTTTAGCTATTCCTCTTGCTAAGGGATTAAATATGCACTCTATCTTATTCTACTTAAAGTTAATGTTGTGTCACTTAATGTAGATAAGAAACTTGCCATTGTATAATTCTATACCCCCTTTCTTTATGCCATGTTGCCAAATACTTTACACAGCCATGCTTATAAATATCACAATATATTGTCAAATTTTTTGCTTTAAGTAGTCAGTTGTACTTAGTCTGATGTTGACTCCATGTTTCCTCTGCCCATTTATGTTCAGTCCCAGGCAGTGGCAAGTCCTCATAAACCTTAGTTCTCAATGGTCTCCATATAAGGGTCAGAAGACTTTGGCTGTAAAGGTATAGTTAATATTTCAGGCTTTGTGAGATGGTCTCTGTTGAAACTACTCAACGCTTCCAGTGTAGTGTGAAAGCAGCCATAGACATTATCTAAGTAAGTGAGGCTGACTGTATTCCAATAAAACCTGATTTACAAAAACAGACAGCAGACTCAATTTGGCCTGAAGACCACAGTTTGCTGACCTGTGATCTATACCATTGGTGGTAAGTAGTCCAGGTCTGTAATTCTTATCTATAATTCTGAAAACCTTAGAGCTCTGAAAATTATGTTATTTTATAACTCACTTGGCAACAAAACATGACCCAATCTGAACTCATCTGGTGATAGAACTTGACCTGCACTGTAATGGGGCTATTTACACTATGTATCATACTTTGTGTGAATATTTGTATGTTTTGCTACATATAGCCTATGTATCACACTTTGTGTGAATATTTGTGTGTTTTGCTACAGAAATATTAATATGTTGATTAAAGCCTGCTCCACAGCATGCTGGTGGTACTATATAACTATGTTACCTTTTATAAATCTAAAAATCCTGAATTCTGTAACATACCTGGTCCCAAAGGTTTCATTAAAGAATTGTGGGCTAATAGTAGTCTGATTAGATGTGAGGTTTAGAATCAGTGGTTGAAGTGAATTCTCCAGTAGTCCCCAAGTGTGTTTGCCAGAGTGAGCTACCTGTCTCTGCTTTCTTTGTTTAGGATCTTCCTCTTGTGACTCTGGCATTTTAGGGGACTGCCTAGTCACCCCCAGGGCTCCTCTGGTTCATTTCTCAGTTTGGAATGTCTTTGATCCAACAGAGCCATAACTTTTACTCCAGAGAAATAACAACAGAATGTCTCCCAATACATTTCTCAAAAAACAGTGGGTTTTTAATTTTGATCCTGGTTGATTAATTGGCAGGCTACTGTGTAATGTTAGGAATGAAGTCCAGGAGACTGAATTCGAATCTTGAGCTATCATGTATTAGACTGTATCTTTGGGGAAGTAATTTAATCTTTGTAAGCTTCACTTTGTGAGCCTGGAGTGGGAAAAGAGAATGATAACATTACCTCATAGGATTAAAATGTAGAGGACTTAGCAAAGTGTTTGGCTCAGAACACATGTTCAGTTAATATTAGTTTAGTTATTTTGTAAATAGAACTGGATTAATTGGAAAAATAAAAAGTTAGAAACCATCCTCCTGAATCTGGCTCATGCCCTCAGAGTCCAATTCAGATTTATTTATTAATGGGTTACTGTAATACCAAACCTTTATAATTTTGTAACTCTGGAATCTCTAAACAATTGTGAATTCTTGGGAAATTGTTTTCAAAATGTTATGTATATTGTAATTTAGAGAACATCTATAAATTTCATTTGAGTCTTAACAGAGATTCGTGTTCTAAAAAAGGTTAAGAACCAATGTCATAAGTGTACCCTATTGCAGCAAATTTGGAGGATTATGAATGAGACAGTGATGTTCTGTCTGATCCATTAAGCTTTTCCATTGGAATAGAGCTGAGACATTTCTTCACTATCTGCTCTGTGGAACTGGCTTGGGTACATGCCTTGAAAACTCTGAATATTGGAGCTGTAGTCATCAAAGTTGAGGAACAAGTCCTAAGCTGATGTTGGTGCGATTGGTATGCTCATAAGAATAGTACATCCATGTGCAGATATCAGGGACTAGCCCTTGACCTGAGACTACAGACTGAGCTCATTGGTTGACCTGCCCTATGAAGCCTTACAACAAACGTGAAGTTTTCTTTGGCCCTGATAGAATGCTTGTATTCCCTACTCCCCATGGATATACTGAATAGCCAAAAAGAAGAAAACTATATATGAAAAGTCAGCTTTTCTTGGCAAAGCGCCTGCTTGGAGCAATAGTCTTCAAGCCTCTAGAATGGAGAAAATATATAGCTTGGCTCTTGGCTGCATGGTTTGGAACTAACTGTCACTTCAAAGCTCAGCTTATGAGATGGTAACAGCTGCAGTCAGGGACATGCTCCAGCTCACCTCAGTAATGTGGAAACAAGTTAGAACCAAGGTGGCTGGTACATGTGTGGGCACATGGGGTGTGAGTCATGGAGTCATGAAACCTTCTCTTGGCAGGATCAGCTGCAGAGTGTAAAGACACCATGTCAAGCATAAACTGTTGCTGGAAGAATACTTGGGATTTTACAGTGGGAGACCAGAGCACCCTGACTGTGCCAATGTAAGGCAGAGTGAAGACCTTGCCCTGCTACAACTCTGCATATCATTTTAACATTATCCCTCATGGATTAAAGGTCTCATGTGTACAGTCACTTAAGGATTTTGAGTCTGAGATAGATGTGAATAGTGGTAAGTTCTAGGTACCTAATGACTTCCCTGGAGGCTGACCTATAATTAACAGTAAGTTCATATTTCTCAGGCTCCTCTATAAATAATGAAAGGTAGAATTTCAGAGGAAAAGGCAATTTAGTCCTCGAGAAAGGAGAAAGTCCTCCAGCTACAGGATAATAAAATGACTTATAACTTACTATAGGTACAGCAAACAATGTAACAGCACCTCAGCCCCATTTCTGAATTACCACAAATTGAACCATTCATGTTTCAGAAGAGTTCTATGACCCCAAAAGAGAGCAGAATACAGAGAATAACAGAAAACACGTACAGAGAAACCACAGGGCTGGCTTTTGATTTGCTACAATAACATGAGGCTCCTGTCTCTAAGTGCAGGTCTCTGAAATATGATGGTTCCAAGAGTCTGTTGTCAGCATCAGTAATGTACCTGGCTACAGAAAATGGGGCTTCCCTTCTCTATCTTTCATCACTTTCTGGTGTCAGAACTGGCCAAATATGACCAGTAAGCCGAGATAACTACAAAAGACAGAAACAGACACCTTAGGATCAAGAGATGATTGTTCAGGTGCTATTGTCTGGGAGAGAATCAGAACAGTACCTTCCTGGAGAGTCTCCATTCTCATCAAATAGGATCATATCTCCAGAAACCCCAGTAAAATTGGTTTTCATCAGGGAGTCCAAAAGTTTCCGTCCATCAATTGGCTTCATTGCATCACAGAGGCCTGCATAGCCTGGACAGAGGGACATCTGCATGTTGTGGAGCCCATAGGCCATGGAATAGATAGCATTGATCACAAATCCCATTTTGGAATCTTGAACGTGATGTGTTCTCAGAGTCAGAGAACCTGTTGAGAAACAAATTATGGATTAACTATGAGATTTAATTCTGCTATAGCTATATCCATGGATTCTGAATAACTTGAGCATTCACTGAGCAATTTATCAGAGTTAGAGCCAGAGTAAATATAAAGATAGAGGTCCCAAATTCGTATGTCTAATAATTGTCTTCTATTTCCAGTTTTTCCCCCCAAAAAACCTTGAAGAAAGACCCGAATCCCCAACAGTACCAAGATTCACTTCCTCTATTACCAATCCTGGAGATGGATGCAGGAAAGCAGTGTATTTCTGTATCATAAACTTATTTTAAGGACAGATTAATCTCCTTAGTACTCAGCTATGATAATATTACCTCCTTGGTTTAGAAATCCACAACCCATCTCCAGCTTCCAAACCAGTAAGTCATAGCTAAACAAACTATATTTTCTACCATCTTGTCTCAACTTACCTGCTTGGATTTATCATGCACCCCTTGCAACCTCAAAGCATTTGCTCTCCATAAACTGGCCTATTTGGAAATTCTAAAATATAAGATTTATACTCCATTAATCAATTAATTGTTAGAGTCTGAACATAAAAAAATGGTAGACGATCTAGGGACAAAACAATGATAAATTGGGCATGGATTCGGCACTTAAGAAGAACTTGTTCAATAATAGAGATAAATTATGTAACCACAGCAAAAGGTGGAAGGTGATAAATTTGTAACACATGTCGAGTTACCCTTCCAATGGACAGCTCTTGGGAAAGTTTCATTAAAGAACTAACATTTGTTATAGGTTATTGATGCAGTATGGAATGAGTTTCTGTTACTTATGACTGCTTAGAACTTGCTGGGAGCGAGGGACATATGTGGCACAAGATAAACCTGATGCTTGCCCTAGAGTCAAGAAGGCACGTGAGCATCTCAGCAAGCCACTGCAGTATGGTTTGGTAAGTCCTGAGGCAGGACTGAGTCAGGAGGGGCATCAGACCCAGAGACTCATTGAGGCTGAGCATTATGGCTGAGTATCAGCTGGATGAAGAGTGGAGGGAAGCATGTTTGAAGGTTCATAGATGAGACAGAGCGTGCTGTGTTTGGGAAACTTTAAGAAGGTTGGAATGTTCAGAACATGATATGGGAGATGAGAGAATGGGGAGAGGTAGAGAAGGAGAGGAGGGAAGGGCTGCTTAAACCACATTGAGATTGGTATACTTTATGATGTACTTTATCTTAAGATCACTGGGATCCCTTGCAGTGTTTAGGTAGGGTCATGATCAGATTTCTATTTTAGGAAGACTAATCTGGCTACAGCATGGAGAAAGATTAAAAGGGCTACAGGAGTGGAGCCAGAAAGACCTATGAAGAAGTGATGCGATGATCCCCATGATAGCTGAAGGTGGCCTTGCCTAGGTAGAGGCCATGGTTATGGGCAGAAGTGTTCAGGAGGCAGAATCTACTACCAGGGCTGGTAACTGAAGAATGGGGAAGATTGAGACACATAGGGAGAACATGGAAAGAAGGCAAAAGTGACAGCTGAAATAAAGACAGAGCTTGTCATTTGGGAAAAAAGTTTTCTGTAAGAGAGATAGAAAGGAATTTTCTAAAGGTAGCATGATTTTTCATGACTTTTCAAACTGTAGAGGCATATTACCCCCTTCTTGATTGCTGGCCCAAATGCTGATACTTTCCCTGAGCAGAAAACAAAGAAAACAGCACAACTCATCCTGACATAAGTTTAAGATGAGGAATCCCATTTCCATTTAAGGACTAAGCACTGGACCCAGGCTTAGTACTCAATTCTCATAATTTTCTTTTCTACATAGGCTCGCTTCATACTTCCCACCCCTGCCGACCCCCCTCCACTGTAAACTCCATGCTACTAGGTATTAAATCAAATATTTTTGGGTCGCTTTTCCCTCCTCTTTCCTTCATACCTTCTCAACTCTTATTTTTTTCTACCGTTAATAATTAAACTACTTCATACCAATCTACTTCTACCGGGGTTTTTTTTTTTTTTTT